TTGATGGCAATTTAGAGCAGTATGTCCCATACAAGACCCACATAGGAATTTAAAGCAGTTTCACATGAAAACATAGCTGAACAATCCAGAATACATCGCTCGGAGAGGTAAAATATGTGATTTGTCCATGACAAATCAATAGATGATGCGGGACACCAATTAATCTTAGGTTATTTGGATCCACGCCATTATAATTCTTAAACTTTGGAGATCTGCCATTACAATTCACCTATTCTGAAACTTGCCATTACAATTCTTCTTCTACCTAATACTTGCCATTTTCTACGTCTTTTGGGTGTATGGGCCCACTGTCAGGCCGTATATGTGTACACATCTTTCGTATGGACCAAAACACCCCCTGTTGCTTCTCTCCCTCCACTCACCGGATCCTACCGCACTGGTCCGTCGCCACAGCGGCACAACCCTTGCTGGTGCGCTACCGCGCCGAGGTCACCCTCGCCCCGCGCCCATGGCCACAGTCGGGTCCTGCTTGCGCAGGGGACGCCCTCACCTAGGCCGCCTGCGCAAGACCGTCAGGCCTCGCCTTTGCGGTGCGCCGCCACGTCGAGGTCGCTCGCAGCCAGGGCCACCCACGCCTCTGCGCTACCATGCCAGTGCGCCACCACACCAAGGGGTGCCCTCGCCTGGGTTGTTAGCGCAAGACTGACGAGCCCACTTGCGCTGGTGCACCGTGGGGCCGAGGGGCATCGGGGCAGCCACACGAGAGGCCTCTCACGACGAGACCCGCCCATATCGGGGAGTCCACGACTGAGGCCGCCATGCTGGGGGCCTTCTGCGGTGGTCCGCCGTCATGTCGTGCCGGGGCCGCCCGAGCAGGGGCTGTCGCACCGGGACGCGTGAGCGGGGGGTGCGAGGGATGGGCCGGCGTGAGCGAAGGGCGCGAGGGATGGGCCGGATCTGCGTGGCGGCTGCTGCTGCTCACCCGCGCGCCTGCGGGAGCATGGCAAGCAGCCAGTGGCAGCGCACGCTCGGGTTAGTAGGGCACGCTCGCGCAAGCAAGGCAAGCAGCGAGTGGCTACAGCAGGCGGTGGGTTAGCGAGCAGGAGCCGTGGGCCATGGCTGTCGGTGTCAGGGAGAGGCCTGCCCGGAGCTCGCGTGCGGCCATGACGTCGGGCTCGAAGTGTCCGCCCACCCCTCCCATCTCACCAGACGTCGTCCTTCTAGGATGGCTGGAGGTTGAAGGAGAATCTGACGTGTGGGGCCCACACGTTAGTGAGTGGAGGGAGAGAAGCAGCCGGGGGTGTTTTGGTCCATACGAAAGATGTGTACACATATACGGCCTAACAGTGGGCCCAGACACCCAGAAGATGTGGAAAATGGCAAGTATCAGGTAGAAGAAGAATTGTAATGACAAGTTTCAGAATAGGTGAATTGTAATGGTAGATCTCCAAAATTTAAGAATTATAATGGCGTGGATCCAAATAACCCATTAATCCTCACTAGAGCATGATTAACAGGCAGTATGATAAATAACAATCTGCAATCTACATAACGAATTATAGTCTTGCAGAGAATGATGCTAAACAATCTGCATTTTTTATCTATGACTGGAAACTTAGAATCAAAATAGGGGCTAACTAAATCAGTGAAATGGAGCCGTATTTATATGTACATTCTTGATTTCTCCCAATTCTGCAAAACACAAATTGGCGAGTGCTGTCACCAATGCTCTAGGGCTCAGCGCAGGCACAGCTGCGCAGCAGTGCGATAGCGCCCTGTCTAGCGTCGGCGGCGGGAGCACGGGCGCCGGGGGCCGCATGCGTCGGGAGCGGCAGGGCACGCGCCGGGGGCCGGGAGGCCGGCCATCGGGGGCGGGGCGTTGGGCAACAGGGGCTGCGCCCCGGCGGTGGGAGCACGGGCGCCGGGAGCGGCAGGGCATGCGCTAGGGGCCGGGAGGCTGACCATCAGGGGCGGGGCGTCGGGCAACGGGGGTTGCGGGCCGGCGATGGGAGCACGGGCATCGAGTGCCAGGCGCCGGGGGCGGGGGCGTGGGAGGACGGTGGCTCGGGCGCGGCCACGGGGCCGGTGGAGGCGCGGGCGAGGACGGTGGCTCAGGCGCGAGCACGGGGCCGGCGGAAGCGTGGGAGGATGGTGGCTCGGACGCGGGCATGGCCGCATGGGGCCGGCGGCGGGGCGCGGGAGGCCGGCGGCGGGGTGCGGACGCGGGAGGCCGGCGGCGTGGCGTGTGTGGGTGAGTGTTTTGGTGAATGAGTGTTTGGGTGCGGACGCGGGAGCTGTTTTGCTGGATGAGAGAAGAAGGAAAAGAAGGAAGGAAAATGAAAAAAAACAATGTTTGCTGAGTTTCCCCGATCTAGTACTCGGCAAATCATGGTATGCCAAGTGTCAGATCGGGACACTCGGCAAATCCTAGCTTTGCCAAGTGCCAGATCGGGGGCACTCGGCAAACATTGTTTTTTTCTTCATTTTCCTTTTTCTTCGTAACGTGTTTTTCTAAATTTGTTCCGATGAACTTTAAAAATACCTTGTCTATTTCACTCAACAATATATATTTGATTTTTCTACGAATATTATTCCATTATTTCATTTTATTCTATTATTTGAATCACTTGCCGTTCAAATTTGAGTTATACTAAAAAAATTCCTTGAAATGCAATAAATTAATTAAATATAGCAAACGGATCTAGAAATATACCAAATCTTAACATGGAGTACCACATGTTGTCTGTGGAGAGTAGAAAAGGTTTCAAGGCCCAAAGTGAAAAAAAACTTATTATTTTATGCAGTTTGTCGCTCAAATTCAATGTATATCAATTAAAATTCTATAATTACACTTAATAAATTAAAATGATCAAACGGATCAAAAAATTACTAAAATTACACATGAATCAATCTATGTTCTCTATTGCCTATAAAAAAGCTTTGAAGTCAAACCCTAATTTGACCGTCACTTTGACTCTAAATCTTACTGGATCCTTCTCAACGCTACAATTCTTCATCTGAGATACTTCGGTTTGTAAACATCGTACGTGACACATTGTACGAAACCTTATCAATTTTTTACCACCGCCTCCGCGTATGATATCATGAGATCTTGACAAATCTCATGATTTTCAGACTTCGTTTCTTTTTTTTAGAATTTAAAAACCATTCGGCCACACGTTCGTGGTCGGGTTTCGTGAACAAAATGTTCCAAATTTCCTTTCATTTCCCAGATAAGGCCTCATACGGGACTCAATAACATGAATATCATTTTTCTACTCACTTTATTATATTATTTGAATAACTTGCAGTTCAAATTTGAGTTATACCAAAAAAATTCCTTGAAATACAATAAATTAATTAAATATAGCAAACAGATCCAGAAATATACCAAATCTTAACATGGAGTACCACATGTTGTATGTAGAGAGTAGAAAAAGTTTCATGGCCAGAAGTGAAAAAAACTTATTATTTCATGCGGTTGTAGCTCAAATTCAATGTATATCAATTAAAATTGTATAATTGCACTTAATAAATTAAAATGATCAAACGAATCCAAAAAATTACCAAAATTACACATGAATCAATCTATGTTCTCTATTGCCTATACAAAAAGTTTTGAAGTTAAACCCCAATTCGACCGTCAATTTGACTCCAAATCTTACCGAATCCTTCTCAACGCTACGATTCTTCTTCTGAGATACTTTAGTTTGTAAACATCGTACGTGACAGATTATGCGAAATCTTCTCAATTTTTTACCACAGCCTCCACGCATGATATAAAGAGATCTTGACAAATCTCATGATTTTCAGACTTCGTTTGTTTTTTTATAGAATTTAAAAACAATTCGGCCACACGTTCGTGGTCGTGTTTTGTGATTAAGATGTTCGAAATTTCCTTTTATTTCTCGGATAAGGCTTCACATAGGACTCAAGAACATGAATATCATTTTTTCACTCATTTTATTCCCTTATTTGAATCACTTGCAGTTCAAATTTGAGTTATACCAAAAATTGCTTTAAATGAAATAAATTATTTAAATATAGCAAACAGACCGAGAAATATACTAAATGTTAACATGGAGTACCACACACTGTATGTAGAGATTAGAAAATGTTTTGTGGGAAGAAGATAAAAAAAGTTTAGGCTTTGCCAAGAGCCAACCAAAAACACTCGGCACAATGATTACTTTGCCGAGTGCCATAACAAAACGCTCGGCAAATAATGTCTTTGCCGAATGTCACTAACGGACACTCGGCAAAGTGCTAACGGCAGGACGCTCCAGCTGGCGGCCGTTGCACGGCCGGCCCACACGCTGGTATTTTGCCGAGTGCCTGATGTTTGCCGAGTGTTTCTTTATGATTTGCCTGAGTATTTACTTTCGGGCACTCGACAAAGAGGGTTTTTGCCGAGTGCCTTATTTTTGCCGAATGTTTCCACGGCGGCACTCAGCACACAACAGGTTTGCCGAGTGCCCGATGAAATAAACTCAGCAAACCCTCAGGCACTCGGCATACCTACTGTTTCCGGTAGTGCTGCAGTGATTTTGTGCATTGGATTCATATCCAAGTTAGAAGCGTGTCTACTTTCCAGTTTCCTAGCCACTACCCCCTGACAAGTCTTTGGGTCCAAAAGCAATTGTCACTAGCTACTGGTTGCTTTCACACATGCTAATAGTTTCGTTGCGTAGGCAGATCTCTCCTAGTACTAGTATCGTGTGCTCACAGCCGTGCACGCGCGTGCGTCTGATTATGATTAGTTCAAATTCAATCTGTTACGTGCAGGAAACGAGGTGCACCGGCGGCCGAAGTGATCAGACCGCAGCAGAAGTTCAAATTTGAAATCAAAATTCAAACCTCATCTCGGAAGCTGGCCAGGCGAGGCGGTTGCCCATTTAATGCCGCGCCGGCGGCAGCAGTCAACACGAAGGGGAGCGTCCGCGCTCGTCAGTCGTCTCCAGTCCCGTCGTGGAGGGGCTATAAATATACACAGACCTAGCAGGTGCTCCTGGCTGCACTGCAGGTGAAGTCGACGAGCCATGCGACTGCGATCGGGCCGTCGCCTCGCCCCGCTGGTGACCGCACCCAGAGGAGCCGGGCGTCGCGTCCGTCCCCGGCGCACCCCGGATGACGGCGACGACGGCGTTTGGGAGGACCGGCTCAGCGGCCTCCCCTTGGACCTGCAACTCGAGGTGCTCGCCCGTCTCCAGTGCGCGCGCGGAGCTGCGCGCACCAGCGTGCTGTCCAGGCCATGGCGCGGCCTATGGACGCAGCTCCGTGAGCTGACCTTCGCGGCATCGTTGATCGATCTCGACTCGCTCGCCGGCGCCCTCAGCCGGCTTGGTGAGCTGGCCCAGGACCGGCCCAAGCTCAACCGGCTTTGCATTCACCTCCCCGGCAACCTGAAGCTCGGGGACGCGAGGATCTCGTCGCTGCTCCACGCCGCCGACAAGCTCGCGCCGTTGGAGCTCGTCGTGAAACACGGTTCGTTTGTCCGTGCCCCTTGCTTACCGTGCTCCTTTGAATGAATACTGTCATGCTGATGCTGTGCGCGTTGGTGAGTGGTGAACGCAGTGGAGGACTCTTCAGCAGATGCGAGAGCACCAGGAGAAGCTGGGCCGCGGCGTTCCCAGCGACTGGGGAAGCTCAACCCAAAATACTTCAGTGACAAATGGGTTCAGGTGTGAGTGGCCCATTGGTCTTGTAAACAGTACTCCCTCTGTACTAAAAAAAAATAAAGTCGTTTTGGACAAGGCTTGATCAAACATTGAGAATATAAATCATGAATAACTTTTAAGTTGTTGAGTTTGGAAATGTAAAAACAATAAATATAGATTTGTCTTGAAAAAACTTTCACAAAAATTTACATATATCAGTTTTTGATAAATATCTTTATAAAAATAAGTAGTCAAAGTTATGCTTTGATACCGTATCGTTGTCAAAACGACTTTATTTTTGAGTATCGAGGAGTACTGCTTTATTGCCCTCCTCGCCAAAAAAGAGCGAAAAAAGAAACAATGTATTGCCTGGGCGGCTGAGCTAAAATAACTGTCGTACCGACTCGGTTCCGTATATATTTCAGAAAGAAAAAAAACCCGACTGGGTTCCAGGTCCTCAGGCTGACTAATTAGCGAACGCTCACTACAATCACATGGAGCGAACGATTTTCCGATAGCCTAAAATTTCCTCTTTTTGAAAAGCGCAGTGCCCCGAGCACATGCACCCACTCAGCCACTCTCGTGCGCCCACCCCCCTCCTTTCCCTGGCTGCGATGACGTCGTCCTAAAAAAAAAAGTAAAACTTTTATCAAATTGCTATAACTTTTGAACGGTGTATCCATTTTCAATTTTATCCGCACCAGTGTATTCTACATGACGAGACGAACAAAACTAGATCCTCACTTACATATGTTTTGAAGAATTTTATTTTCTAGTAGCAAATTATTTGTACTAAACTCATAACATATAACTTATACTTATAACTTATGCCAAAACATGAAACACAAAAGTTATCAAGCACAACTTATGTATAAAAGTTATGAAGCACAACTTGTGTATAAAAGTTATTAAACAAAACTTATGTACAAAAGTTATTAAACACAACTTATGTATAAATTATAAAAATTATTAAACACAAAGAAACGAAGGACCTTATAATTTATACCAAAACTTAGAAACACAAAAGTTATTAAACACAAAGAATGAATTAACTTATAACTTATATCAAAACTTAGAAACACCAAAGTTATGAACACAACTTATGTAAAAAAAATTATCAAATACAACTTGTGTACATAAGTTATTCTATATAACTTGTACATAAGTTATTCTATACAACTTATATACATAAGTTATTATATACAACTTAGATGTACAAATTAATATCATAACATAATAGCATACATAAAAGAAAATTGATCGACTACTATAAAAAACAAAAAGAGAAAAAAGGAATTTTTTTAAAAATAGCAATGTAATACATTATTAATTAATTAATATAAGAAACATTCACGCATGATAGTGCTAGTGTTAGTCTACAGCAGCCGCAACTAGAAAGTGCTAGAAAATAAAAGGGAAAAAAAGTCATGGGAAGGGGATCCCGAATTTTTTATTTTTCGGCCTTTTTTTGAAAATTATTCATAAATAGACTCCTGGTGGTTTGATTTTCGTTTTTGGACCCTGATCTTGGCGCCATGGCTTTTGGATCAAGGAAACACGTCTCGGTGCCATGGCCAATGGCGCCGAGGTCTTGGCGAGGCGTCGGACGTGGCGGTGACCTGGCGCCGACGTGGACAAGGCCTCGGCGCCATAGATCTTAGCGCCGAGCTGTTACCCTATAGATCTTGGCGTTTGAAATGAAACAAGTATAATTGGGCAACAATGCCATTGTGGTTCAGCTAGTTAGGACGCACGTGACTTAGCTCAAAGGCCTGGGTTCGGACCCGACGCTGAATCTTTTTTTGCTATATTTTTATAAGCAATAGAACAAGAAAAATTATTTCGAGGAACATGCAATGATCCCATTGTGGTCCAGTTGATTTGGTTGCATGGGTCTCACCCCACAAACCTGGGCTCGAACCCAAGCAACAAATATTTTTGTTAAATTTTTATTTTTATAAGCAATTACAACAAGAAATATTATTCCTTTATGAAACCCAATGTATTTTCACTTGGTATTGGTGCTCTTGCTTATGCTGCCGCTTGATGAACAAAGTTGGGTACACACTGTCTTAAGATAGCTTACTCATTTGACGTACATATTTGCCTGTCAGAATGTCAAGCAATTTTGCAGTCTACTCTGGGTTGCCATATATAGCATGTTAAAGCAGTTTTTGGCAGCCTAAAAACGAGCGCCTGGTTGTTTATAATGTATATAATGCTTATATTCAGTGCTCCATTCTTTTAGTAAAATGCTTCTGAGTCATGAAATTAAGTTCCAACACGTTGGTTTCATGTGTTAGCTAGCGTTATAACATACTATTAGATATCATTTCCTTTTCACTTTTGAGAGAACCATTGGGTTTCATTGTGATCTAATACAGCGAAACACTTCATTCCTATGCAGTTTTCTTGGTTCAATATTTGGGTATTTAGAATGCATTACGGTGATGTTTCTAGCCCCTGGTTGCATTTACTGTTGTATTTTACAGGAAAAAAACGAAGTAATGCAAAAGCAACTTGAAGCCCTTCATTCCTCGACAAAAGAAAGGCTACAAAGCCAAAGCTGGTGACTGATCAGGTTCCAAGTGTATCGGGTGCACCTCTAAGCTCTGATCAATTGTTCCTGCGCAGCAGCAAACACCAGGTTACATGGCCTTTTTTTTAACTACATGGCTTATATTTCTTGCTGTAATTGCTTATAAAAATAAAAATTTAACAAAAAATATTTGCTACTTGGGTTCGAGCCCAGGTCTGTGGGGTGAGACCCGTGCGTCCAAATCAACTAGACCACAGTAGGATCATTGCATGTTCCTCAAAATATTTTTTTTGGTTCTATTGATTATAAAAATATAGCAAAAAAAGATTCAACGCTGGGTTCAAACCCAGGCCTTTGAGTTAAGTCGCGCACATCCTAACCAGCTGAACTGCAATGGCGTTGTTGCATGTTCCTCGGAACAATTATACTTGTTTCATTTTAAACGCCAAGATCTATAGGGTAACAGCTCGACGCCAAGATCTATGGCGCCGAGGTCTTGTCCACATCGGCGCCAGGTCACCGCCACGTCCGACGCCTCGCCAAGACCTCGGTGCCATTGGCCATGGCGCCGAGACATGTTTTCTCGGCGTCAAAAGCCATGACGCCGAGGTTATTGTCCATAAACGAAAATCAAACCAGTAGTGATCTATTTGTGAATATTTTTTTTTAAAAAAGCTGAAAAATAAAAAATTCGAGAAGGGGATCGGACACCGACGCACTGGGAAAATGAATGAACGTCCGCCAAAGTGGAATTGGGGTCCTCGTGGGGGGGCGCGCAGGAGGCCCAATCTGTTGTCGTCGTCCAATTTGACGTCCACGTCCTTCCGTCAGCCGAAGAAACCCCCCGGTCCGAATTTCTCCAAGGATCCCTGACCTGACCTGCGCGCTTGTTGCTCCACTGCCCGAACAGTCTCTTCGTCTTTACATATTTACCATTATAACAATAGTAACTCGTTCAAATCTCATCCAAAGGATTGCCCTTACGTATTTACCAGACAAGAGAAGTTTCAATATTCATTTTACCACATTTGCTCATGTGGCACGCCACGACGGCCTGACATGCTGGCGCACAGTCAGCACGGGCAGGAAAAATGTCCTCGCTGCCCCTAGGCATTTCTTTAATACGCCGTGTCGGGCCCGGCCTCGCCCTCTCCCTCTCTCATTTCGTTCCCCCGCCGCCGCCGCCTTCTTCCCCAGCCCGTCGCTGCCTTCTACTCCCCTCCTGCTGTCCCACCATGATGGTAGAAGATTAGTTTTAAGATACTGGTTAAATGGCGTAAAAGCAGTAGAAGAAAGGTTTCAATGTCCTGATCCTCTTTATTGTGCAGTTTAACAAAAATCAACATAATCAATTATTCATTCATGAATTTTATCGGGAAGAGTTCAATGTTAACAAAGAACTTAGATTCGAGAATGGGAAGTACTCCCTCCGTCCAGGAAAGAATGCAATTCTCGCTTTTCAAGAAGTCAAACATTTGAACTTTGACTAAATTTATATAAAAAACTATTATCATTCATGATATAAAATAAGTACCGTTAGATTAGTTATAGAATACATTTTCATAATAAATTTTGTTTGAAGACATAAATGCTAATATTATTTACTATAAACTTGATTAAACTTGAGTTACTTTGACTGGTATGGATCCCATAATTGTATTTTTTTTCAGGACGGAGGGAGTATTACCAAGGCACAATCAACTGGTCCTCTTGCAACCAGTGAGTAAAAGAGGCGCACAAACGGACACAGAAAGACCACAAAGTCCTAGAGCTGCCTACGTCCTGCCTGTTGACTGTTGTGTACTTGTATGTTTCCTGTGGCCTGCCCCCACGACGAGATGCCAGCCGGCCGGGCATCGGAACCAGGTCGCTGCCTCGCCGCTCGGCCAGTGCGTGCAGCTAGGTCTGGCCCTGGCGAACGCCACCGCGATGGGCGGCAGGAGCAGTGGCACCGGGCGGCGGCTGGTGGGGTGGAGGACTTCTGATGAGCAGGTACCCTTTTGAAAGGCTTTCTTACATCCAGCTAAGTTCATGTATGCCAGGAAGTCATTTACATGATCCAAATGTTAATGTCTCGCGTACCGACTTGTTTTTCTATTGTGCGTATGCAGGGCAACTCTAAAGTTTGCATAATATATGACAAACAAATGTTGAATCACATCCCCCATCAGCTACCCACAACGAGAGGCCTCAACGAATTAGTGCTATTTATGATAGGCTTCAAAAGGTTGGCTTGCTTCAAAGGTTCTTTTATTTTTTTTACCTCGTCTATGAATTCACGAAAGTAACCTTCTGAAATCTGAATTTTATTTTTTGCCTCATCTGTGAATTCATGAAAATAACCTTATGAAATCTGAAGTTAAGATTCACTTTACATTTATTGGTGCTTCTTGTATGATTCAGAACCTGCAAAATTGAAACATGCATGTATTGGATGTACACATAGATCATTATGTCATATGCATCATCAAAGGAATTCTATGGTCGCGTT